CACAGGTTGCCTTCTGCAAAAGTAGACCCTGCAAGCTAACACCCGTACTTGAAGCTGCCGCAGATGACTTACATGCATGTTTTAATTGCTTGCTTCACAAGGTCAGAGTTTTCTAAACAAGCATTAATGATTGAGCTTTAGGTAAAAATAGCATTTTAGTCCTTTATTAGAACTTTAAATATTCTTTGCGAAAATATTTACTGTTTTTCTATTTAAGGAGAGCTGAATTCTATGGTACTTAATAACATCAGATGAACTTTCACATTAAATTGCTAATACCAAACCTTAGTGCATGAATAGAACTAAATTAACTGCATCAATTTCTTGTATTCAGTGTTCTCAGTCAAGAAGGAGGAAACCACCAAGAGCAGGTTCTGAGTTTTCTAGCTAGTGCAAAGAACCTCATGAACCACGGTTGCTCTCAATCTGTCAATTCATGAAAGAAACATATCAATCCAGGCGCCCAGTAGCATGGGTACAAAGTGTTCCATGAGATACATCAGAAGAAACAGACACTGTGGCACAAGACTGAAAATGCACTTAGGGATTATAACCGGGTTCTTAGGTGGAGAGCAAAGTGCTTACAAAACCAAATTTGCAGGATCCTTGAAGTCAGGACACAGTAGCACTCAACTGTAATCCCAGTACTCATGAAATAGAAACAGAAGATCAAAAGTTCAATGTAATCCTCAGATATATTGGGAATTTGAGGCTAGCATGGTCCTTATAAGTTCCCGTCTTTTCTGGACAGAAAAAAAAAGAAAAGAAAAGAATATGAAAGGAAACCTGGGACTCATAGGAGAAGTAGAATTAGGTAGGATGTAGAAAGTTTCAGGAAGTTAACAGATTGAGCAAAATGTTCAGGTATGATCATCAGCATCAACTTGTTGATGATCAATTTATTCCTGAGTCACAGGGCAATCATAGCAGAAAATAAGCTGGAAAATGGTATGTTTTGCATTAGTTTGCTACCATTGCATTAACTAAAATGTCACAGACTCAACAGAAATGTCTTCTCCCAATTTCAGATTCTAGAAGTACAAAACATCAGAGTATGGGTGGTGGTGATTATTGGGAGGCCCCTCTCCTGATTTATAGATGACACCTTCTGTTTGTGTCTTCATATGGCTTCATTTTGGACTTAAGTGCATCGGGATTTCCTCTTCTTGAAAGGATACTGGCCATTCTCATTTTACATAAGGACCACTATAAGGGGCCTATCTCCAAATGATGCAGGACCATTACACCATTCTCATTTAGTAGAGGTTAAGAGTGCAGCATGTGAATTTTAGGAGGAAATATTCAGACTATATCGGTGCTATTTTTAGAAGTAATTTTTCAAAACCCAATGAAATCGTATTTATCATCCTTGATACTGTCCATCTACATTGCTTTGGCTAGTTTCCCAACACTGGAATCTCAAAACATTTGGGAAATTCAAAGATGTTTAAGATTAAAAAATAATTCATTGTGGAGATAATTCATTATTAAAGTGAATACCGAAGTATCACAGTTACGGCCGTCAATTCTAATGGTATGATACTACAATTCCAGAATGTAGATTTTGTACAGCAAAATCATTTGATAAATCCTGAAATAATTTTTGCAATATAGGGAATAAACCTACAGCTTGAAAATGCATAGTGTGTAATTTTCAGCTTCAGTTTTTGCTGTATAATTCTTAACTAGTTGTAAGAATCTCCCAAAGGTTATTATTGCATTGTGTTTTGCCCTACCTGATATTCTTCAAAGTTTTAACCTTCTTACCATGTAGAGAGAGCAGGACATTGTCAACTTACTAGAATAAGTTAAAATTCTAATACCAGAAAATTCACATATAATCAACAAAAATGCATTTATAAATATCCATGCTGTCTTACACTTTATATTATCACATTGTTATTAGTTTGGAATTCACTCTTTAACCTGCACTGTAATTTTCAAGATAACTTCCTTTCTCTTACAGATTACTTCAGCATATTTACTAACATCTAAAATTTAGAACTACAATCTACAAATTACTGAAAACACATGTTGCTTGTTTCAATGAGCGTGAGTTACCAGGCTGGTCCTGACAGAGTATAACCCTTTTTAATTTCTTATGTTTCCAACATGATTTTAAGATAGATCTTGAGATGCTTATATTTTCTCTACTCCTTATTATATAGTTTTGACTTACAAACTCTACATTTCTGTAATTGAGCCTCTACCATACTTTATAACTGAAATAATTACTTTCTACTTATCATGGGTTAAGAGGAATTCTGGGGGCCAGGTGTGAGGGCATATATCTTTAATGCCAACACTTAGGAGTCAGAGGGTGGTAGATTTCTGTGAGATTGAGACAGGCCTAGTCTACACTTGCACTTCCAGGATAGCCAGAGTATAGGATGACCCTTCCAAAAAAAGGAAGAGTTTTGTGAGATTTGTGATCTTTGATGATTTTTTTTCTTAAGCAAGGGAGTTCATTTGTTTTTGTTTTATTAAACACTTTTTTAATGTACCTACTCATATGTGAGCATATGATTCAAGTTTTCCACTTTGTTCTGTTAATATAATGAAATACATTAATTGATTTTCTAGTATTAAAGTAATTTTGCATTTATGATTTATGCTCAATACAGTTACAATAAATGACTTAATTTATTCATCATTAAACTTGGTTTGATAATTTTTGAAATCTTTGGTTCATGAGTTACTTTAGCCTCTAGTTTCCATTCTTATAATATTCATGTTAGAGTTTATCTCAGGCTAATAATATATTGTCAAAACAATAAGCTATTTTTATTTCTGTCACTTCTATGAGTTCATGAAACTATTAGTATGATTTTTTTCATAAATATTTAGATGTGTTTGTTAATTTGATTCAATCATTCCCCATTGTAGATACATAAAAAAATCAGGTAACCTATAAAATGTAAATGAAGAATGAATTGTAATATAAAAATTGTAAAATTTCATTGATGGAGCTATCTGGGGCATAATTTCTATTTATGGAAAAATTGTAAAATATGAATTCACTTTATTTAGTAGATCAAGGATAGCAAAAAACTTGTAGGTTTTCAGTTTGCCCTTAAATTTCAGAGATCAAAGCACTCTGAGACTTTTCATGTTAGAATTCTTTTTGCAATGAGAGACCTCTGGGAACAAAAGTTTGACTCGGTAGTCCTTAATATATATGACGGGATACATGAATTCTGATGGGGAGGGCTATGAGGAGTGCAGATTGGAGAGGAGTCTAAATATGACTAAGATTCATTGTAGGAAATGCACAAAAATTGAATAAAAATATACATAAAATAATTCTTGCTGCTGCCATGGTCACTGCACAAGAGTAGGACCAACAGTGAAAAAAGAAGCTGCCAGTTTCACAGCTGGTCTCAGATTACTGAGGAAGATAATCTGATGGATACTTTTTTTCCCATTTAGATAAAAATAATAAGCTTTCACATGGACTCTTCCAATTTTACTCTAGCTCTAATTCCATGCCTTTATAGTTTTCAAATACTTTATCAAGTTATATGGCACAAATATGTGACAAGGATAAATATTTTTCAACCTTGTGACTCAGAATGTAAGTAGCTGCTAGTAATTTTGGGAAGATGAATAAACTGGCAATTATTCAAGCATGAGTAATTTGGACTTATTCTATTTTGCATTCAGATTTTATGTTTACATAAAAATACAATGAGAACTTCATAATAATTCAAACATATTAACACTTCTGTAATATTCAGTAATGACATAGTGTTCTCCATCTCTCAGAGTTCCATATCCTGAAAATATTATAAAGGTTAGTGTTCTATTATTATTCTATGATAATATAAAATTTGTGTTAGATAGAATTACTGGATTTAAAATTTAGCATCTTATTTTTGACATACAAATTTACATCATACAGATAATTCAGCAATACTAATTTTTACAGTTTCAACTTTGGTTATACAGTATTCACTATTTGTGAGTAATCTAACAGAAATATTAACTAATAATGAAATATTTTGCTAACGGCAAAAAGAAAAATGTTTTAAAATCAATGGTAATCATTTTAGCTGTTCCAAAATCTTTTTCCCAAGTTTTTATTTGAATTTTCTGTGCATTTCATATAAAATTCCTTAATCAAATTTAGAAACCTTCCCTGTAGCCCTTCCCACCAGATTTCAGGTATTCTGTCATATATGTTAAGTCTTATCCAGTCCAGCATTTATATTCAGATGTCTGAATAACTGATATGGAAGTAGGCACTATATATACATTTACTAATAATAAAATCATCAAATTTTATAGCATTTCTTTTTTTCCTAAAACACATGCTTTCCAAAAGAGCCCAAATACTATATATATAGCCCATTACATCACTAATGTTGTAACACTCAATGACATCCTTATTGATGACATAAAATGTTGCTTAGTTTTTTCTCTTCCTCGGGAACCAGACTTACAGAGGACTCAGAGATCACAGAAATGTGTGAATGCCTGCTTAAAAACTTAACTTTACTATCATGCTAAGTAAATATTGTAACAATTAAAATATCCCTACCTTTAAATGTCCTCAACATTTTCCAGTTTTTCAATAGAAATCTTTAAATAGCTAGAAGTAATCTTAAATTGGTAGTCTATTTCCACATTAGATGGTAACATGCTTAAAGACAATGAATTAATTAGAACACTAAAATTGTGTAGAAATCATTCAGACAATCAGATAGCAAGTCAGTATACCACCCTTGATCAATTTAATGTTATACACAATAAAGTGATTAAATTTAAACTCATATATGTTTAGATTTAAATACAGTTTTGGTGATATCAAGTTAATAGCTATTCCACTAACTTTTAAATGTCTTTTCACTTATTTTCCCTCCAGTTGGCCTGACTGAGCTTTATTTACATCTCTACAGTATTATCATTAAGTCAAGGGGACAGCCAGTACTCCATCAGCAAATTTAAGAGATTTTCTGTTGCAAATATCACTAGTGGACCAATTACAACACAAACAAACAATGGCTGTCTCAGGTTCAAAATGGATAAATAAAAGTACTGCATTTGTTTTCTTTTTTCTCTTGTATCCAAGATCAAAGTAAACTCAAACATGAATCTCATGAGGTAGAAAAAAAAAATCTCTGTAGGGAAAATAAGACAACCAGAGATGAAAACAAGGCTCTGAGAAAAGAAAACAAAACCCTCTGGGGGGAAAACAATGCTCTTGGAAGAGAAAACAAAGCTTTTCGAATGTTCAACCAATTCATCAGGGAAAGGAATCAGCTCCTAAGACAGCAGAGCCAGCTTCTCTGGAAGGTGAAAAAGTTGGCTTTGGAAAATCAAAAACTGTCAGAAGAAGAACTGAATGCCTTGAACACAGAGAGAAAATCTTACTGGCAGCAGAATCCTGCACTGGAAACTCAGATTACAGCTCTCCAGCAGCAAGAGATAGCCTTCCAGAATGAAGCTAAAGCTCTTGAAGAAGAGATCAGAGCTCTGTGTGAGGAGACCAAGGCTCTGCAGCACCAGGAGAGCACTCTCAGGATGGAAGAGAGGGCCCTGTTGAGGGAGGGAGTGGCTGTAGAGCTGCGGGAGGCCTTGACAAAGGAGGGAGCTGCTCTGGAAATGGAAATGGAAGAGTGGGCTCTGTGGAAGGAGGAGCAGGCTCTTAGGGAAGAGAACAAGGCTCTGAGAAAAGAACAAGGAGCTCTGCAAGAGGACGAAGCAGCCCTACAGGAAGAGGCCAAAATACTAAAGGAGTGGAACAGGATTTTCCAGGGGAAGAATGCAAACACCCTCCCTGGGAAGACTCAAAGTGATGAACTAGAGAAGTGTGACCTGAGGATCTAATTTAAAAATAAAAATAAAAATCGGGACAACCATGGTCATTCCAGAAATTAAAGTAGAATTTGAAGGTAGAGCATTATTGACAGAAGTCTGGGAAATTACAGTGCTCAGTATTAGCTTGTGAAAACTAAATAAAGACCTGAACGAAAAAAAATTGATACTTTAGTTTTCTTTTATTTATAGACTATTAATGCTAATATTAATAAAACATTTAATGCACAAGTTTCTTTTACATTCTGAATTACTGTTATTAAATATGGCACACTCCCTTTATAAGAAATTAATGGTAAATAATTTCCTTAAAAGATTTTTAAGGCTGATGTGTATCTGTAATCCCAACACTTAAGAATATAGGGCAGGAGGTATTGGATTTCAAGATCATCCTTGCCTACATACATGTTGAATTCAAGCGTGTCCTGAGCAAAATGAGCCCTAGACTCTAAAAGCAAAAAAGCAAGCATAATAAAATTTGCTTTTACAATTATGAACATTACAGTACAATAAAAAAACATGTTCTGTTTGTAAGTACACTGAAAAATATCTCCTCTGCATCTTCTTTATATTTAAATGATATAGTAGAACTTCTTGAGCTAGTAAAAATGATTTTAAATATGTGATAGTACAAAAATTACTAGTTTTTGCATGTTCCATTACATTTGCTTTCTTTTTCTTATCATTTATTATACTCCTTTGACTTAAGGAGAGGTCTACCTCTCTACATAAAATTTAATTAAAAACAAAATAAAATTTCCAAAACACAAGAGAACTTTTATAGTTTGGAATGTGAATTTGTGGAATACTTTATGTTCAATATACTTTAGGGAAATGTCTTATTTTTCATTTTAGTATTGACAACTGGTATACTTGAGTGCTTTGTAAAAAAAAAATAATGCTGCAAAACCTGAGTTACATAGATTTATTACATTTGTGGTTTTAGCACATTAGAATATAAACTGTAAAAACAGTGTATAGATTTCATCACTTTAAATTTGGGGCACTTAATGTACTAAAAGCAAATGTTTAATAGTTTCTATTGAATATATCCAAGCTATCTTAAACAGACTTGTCTGATGTTAAGAAATGGAAATTAATAAAATTATAACAAGAGGACAAATTTTCCTAGATGCTTTCTTGTCTGAAAAAAAATGTTTATTACATGTGTATAAAATGCTTCAACTAGCATCCTTTAATCCAATGTGAATGTATTTGATACTGAAAAGCGAAGATGCACATCCTCTGATTTTAAGGTCCCAGAGTCTGTAAATTAACCTTACTACATACATGCTATATGGGAAGTTCATCTTCCTGATATTTCACAGCCCTTTTTTTCTACCATATCTAGTTTTCACATACATAACTTGACCTTGGAAAAAGGTATGATCTAAGGTAATTTTTATATAGTGCTTGACAGGGTTGTAGTTTAGTTAGGACTAGGAAAATTTGCAAAAGTTTTACTGTCAGTTCTACCTTAAGGGATGTTGAAAAACGTTGAAGGCCAAATTTAGGGTTCTAGGAATTTATGGATATGATTTTTTATATTTTGTTACAATATCCTTTGCATAGAAGAGTCATTATTCTTTAAATGTCTTACTGTAGCTATTAGAAGAAATAAGCCATTTTGCTTCTTGTGGGTGAAGTCAGAAGGAGTACTCCCTCTGGAACACAAGCTGTTATCAAGGACTCAGTCAGAAAATTCTCATTATTGCATCATAGTTAAGGTAAAATAATTCAGTTTAAAGTGAAGATACTAACAGGCATGTTGAACTTGCTACCCAGTAAGTCGACCAGACATAGCCAAGGACATCAATGAATGCAGCTTAAACAAAACAGTTAATCATATTTTATAATAAGGAATTTGGTTTGTGCCTTCTTTTTAAAACTCGATTCTGATTGTGTGATTCTTTAGCATCAGCTGTGCATATGAAAACACCTTATACAAATGTAAAAAAGTTGTAAATGTTTGGTAGAGATTTCAGATTTTCAATCTCTCCTCTGGATTCAAATGCTAAGCTTTGGATCAGCATTGCTACAAAGAAATGTTTATTTGTAGTATATAACAGATGAATTTGTTTAGACCATTTGCATAAATAAAATCATTTAATGTGTGTTATTCTGTTATGGCTAATATATTCATAATAAATATTTTTGAAAAAAAAAACAGATAAACTTGATGATAAGAGTAGAAGAATGTTGTGGTGCATTTACTTTGCTTTTTGTAAATTGTTTCAAGACCTTCGTGATATTTAAAGTAGAAGAGAGAATTTCAGTACACAAAATCCTAATACAAAAGTTGTATTCAACACATCAGGTGGGTAGGACATGCCTGTAATTGAGCATTTGGGAAGCCGAATAGGAGAATCAGGAGTTTGACGTCATTGTTGCTCACATAGGAATTTTAAGGCACTCCTGAGACCTGAGACCATGCCCCAGAAGCAACAACAACAAAAATAGCAATAATGTTGGCAATATACTAAGGAACTCTTCAATAACTGGTAAAGGTATTTAAGCATAAGTCTACAGGCAAGTCAATATAAATATTATAAAGTCATCTAAATAGTGAAGCAACCTTAGTCAATATTACTAAAGAGGAAGATATACTCTGAACTTCTCCCTATTGTTATTCTATTGATTTTTTTTATAAGTTCATTTATTCAAATGCTGTCTTCCATAACAACGTCCATGTGTAACATGCAGGGTGGTTCTGCATGTTCATTGGGTAACAAAGAAGAAAAAACACTTTTTTTTCAGGGTTTCCAGAAGGCACCGTCATCTGAGGGTGTGGTCACAGATATCCACCTGTTCCCACTGATACTGCCCTGCTCATGGCAAGTAAAAAATCATTACCTAACTGAGACAGTAATTCACAATTATACTAACATCTTCTGAGAAACAATATATCATAGAGCTGGGTGTGATGGGGCATGACTTTAATCCATGCACTCTGAAGGCAGAGGCAGGGAGATCTCTGCGAGTTCAGGCCAATCTGGTCTACATAGGGAGTTTTGGGTAATCTAAGGCTACAAGAGATCCTGTCTCAAAAAGACTAAAAAATAAAAATAAATAAATAAAGATCATTTAACTTCCTTTAAGAGAACATGAAGCCTACACTCAATTACCAAACTCCCTCTTGGTCAGATCTAGAGGTCAAGGCTCACAGGCCCTCCCTTCCAAACTTCTTTTTGTACTCCCTTACAGTATCCATACAGTCTAATTTTTTCTCAGTTCTACATCATTAATCAAATCTACATTGGGGAGCTCTTTTATAAATGTATCTTTTATCATCTTTGCCTCAGCTAAGACTTCGGTTGAAATATCCTCTGCAGACCTGTGTTTTGGATGCTTATTCTCCTGATGCTGGTGATATTTTGGGGAAGGATTCACTGGAATCCTTAGAGTTGGGTTCCTAGCTGACAGAAGCAGGTCAATAGGAACAGGCCTTTGGAAGTAGTGCCTGTTCCTGATTCTAGCCTTACACATTCTGCTTCCCGGTCTCCTGAAATGTGAAAAATCCCTTGTCCACATTCCCGCTATAATGAACTTAAGTGTTCCAATATGCATGCCCAGACATGACTAACTAAAACCTTTGGAATCAAGAGCTCAAATCGATCTTTCCTTCATTAAGTTGTCAAGTATTTTCATCACAATGAAAACAAGTGTAATTTACACTCCCTGGATATATCTCAATGAAATATCCCTATTAGATTTTTTTCTCTGGTGAAGGCATTTTGATTTTACTAAAGCCAGACTGGGATACATTTCTTACACTCTCACTGTATTTCTGCGCATTCTATTCTGTTTTCCTCAATGAGAGATACAGTGTCAAGGAAGCACATAGTATAGATGAGACTACTCTCTACCTCATATGACACTTCTTCAGATTTTGTTCATTCTTTCAGACAAACTTTGAAATCTAACCTTTGAAATATGAATGGCAGTGTCCTTGTGGAATTCTCATGTTTTTGCATATTTGTGACTTTACATTGCACACGTATAATTCTTTCATCAGTTGCTACTATCCTCCTTTGACTTTATTTTTTAAGAAAATTTCCTCCATGTTATCTAAATTCTGACTCCACTAATTTACCTTAAAATATGTGTGACTGGCCACTGGCTCAGAAATCCGAGTACTCCTGCTCATGCTGTACCTCTACCCTATTTCCTTTATATTAGCAACCTCCTATAGAGTCCAGTTTATTTGATCACCAGCAATATTTTATGGCTAGTACTTCTCATAGCTCTTATTTCTCATCTTCAATTATGGAGTACTTTAATATTCTTGAAAATTTTCTTTAAAAATTTGTATTTATTACCATATTATGTGTGTTCGTGCATGTACATGTGGAGGTCAGAGGACAACTTTTTTTCAGTTCTCTCCTTCCACTATGGATTCCAAGGATTGGAATCAGGACCTCAGACATGGGGTGGAAAGCTCCTTTGCCTGCTGACCCATTAAACTCTCTGTAAATATTCTTTATTTCCTTGATTCAGTCTTCATTACATTAGCTTGAAATGTATGAAATGTGGATTCTATGTAACAGTGTACTTTGCTTCACCTTGACTACACCACAGCAGATAAAATTGGTCAGAGATGTTATATATTAATATTAAGATGGTATTATGTGGGCCTTGAGAGATGACTTAGCGGTTAAGAACACTGGCTATACTTGCAGAGGACCCAGGGTTGATTCCCAGCACCCACATAGTGGCTAACAACCATCTGTAATGGCAGTTCCACAGGATCTGATGCCCTCTTCTGATCTCTGAGGGCATACACAACACAAGTGCACTCATACACATTCAGGCAATACAGTCACACACATAAAATAAAAATAATCAAATATTTTTTTAAAAGATAGCAATATGTTCATATTATGTACATATTATTTGAAGAATTATCTACTAATAATTTAATTGGTCTTATCAAAAATCATAAGTACTGTTAGTATCCTCTTATACAGTTGAAGAAACAGAAGCACAAGACAATTTGAATTTTCCCAAATCAT